GAGCTGGATTTGAGACTCAAGCCCCTGACTTTACTTACACTTAAAACTTGCACAAGCATTCTCAAAGTAGACCTTGGTCAGGTGCCTAGAATTAATGCATCTTAGTAGCTTGAGTTACTAATAAGACCATCAACTACAGAAAACAATAAATTCAAAATTTTCAGACTCATTGTCAAAAGAATCTGACAAATTCCCTTAAATCATTGGAGGTCGGTATAAATTAGCATTTGATTTATTATTAGTATATATACCAAAAAAATAATTTCTCTTGCTTTTTGACAGTTGTATGACTCCTTGCCTCAGTTGACACTTCTCCTTGAGATTTATTTCAAAGAAGTTAGCCATCTTTCTTCCTCACTTTGACACTGCAGTTTATACTCCTGGAAAAAGAGATAGATTTTGAAAGGAAGGAAGATCTTGCTCACTTCAAAGTTTAAATTTTTAATGAGATCGAGGGGAGTCTCACTGTGTAGTTTAGACTGGCCTAGAATTCACTACACAGCCCAGGCTGGCCTCAAGCTCACAGTTATCCTCCTGCGTCTGCTTCCTGAGTACTGGGATTAGAGATGTGCACCACCATGCCCAGCTAATGAGAAATTTTAAAGCAAAGTATTCCACATAAGAAATCAGCCTCAAGTATTTTTATATAAGGCTAGCATATTTTTACAAGAGTAGAAATCCGCAGTTTAAAATAAGGCAGCATCATTACAAGACACTGTCAAAATCCTCTTCGAAGCTCTGAATTTAAAATGGAGGCTCCTACCTTAAAGAAGACTACAAAAATATACATATTGAAGTTGATGTTCCCGTGCTCCGACTCTTTCTGGCTATTTGTAGAGGAAGAAAATTTTAAAGTATGGCTTAATGCCTGGCAAGGTGACACACACCTCTCTAATCACAGATTCAAGCCCCATGTGGGCAACTCAGTAAATTAGTAAGACCTTGTCTCAAAATAAAAATTGCTGGGGATCTAGCTCAGTGTGGAGGACCTGGATTTAGTCTACAATACTGCCACAAAAAAAAAAAAAAAAAAGAAGTACAGGCTCAGAAGTTAAGTCTGGTTTTTAAATTTCAGATCAGTTTCTTAGTAGCTGCAGCAACTTATTTCTTCTGGGCTCTGTTTCCTCATTTATAAAATAGTTCCTGCATATGGATGTTGTGAGGACTCCGTGGGTGATACGAGTGAAGTCCATAAAAGTGACAGGCGTGGAGTAGGT